ATGATTTCCAACTGCTTTCATGACACTGAGAAACATTTTCAATTACATCAAGTGGTTAGCAAAATAATTCTTCAAAAATTCCAAGAAATTTTACTCACTTATGTTTTTAATAAGATGATATACATTGCCTTACATCAAATACTTGTTCCCTGGTAAGAGTCAGTGGAAGTCAATAGTGAAAACTTTCCCACTTTAATGTAAATGATATTTCAAATTATTTACAACTTAATAAAATAAATGTTTCACTTCTGCATTTAAGATACCTCTTTTTTTTTTTTTGGTACTAGGAATAAAACTCAGGACCTTGTACTTGCCAGGCAGATGCAGTGCCATGAGCTACATTCTTGGCCCTAAGATACCTTTTAAGACAGGATATACTGACCAAAGGAGCAGTGAAATAGACGAAGTATATTGCAATTAACTTTAATTATAATATTCTTGTAGAAAAAAATGCAGCACTTAGTAACAGAAACTAGAAAACCCAAATATTCAGGAATATTAGCACAAATAATGTGGGGTACATTCTATGGTGGAATTCTATATAGTTAGGAAAATGAAAAACTATGGTTATCCACATCATAATGAAGAGCAAAGGAAGCCATATGTATACACAAAAAGTCTATGCTGCAGGATGGCCTTTATATAAAATTAAGATCAGGCAAAATTAATCTATGGTACTGGAATTCCTGCTTGTATTTACCTTTGGGAAGAAGGGTGGGCTTAGTGACACAGAGCTTCTGGAGGCCGGTAAACATTATAAATCTTGGTTTATGTGACGTTTACAAGAGTGTTTACCTTGTGAAAATGCGTGCTTACTTGCAGTTTTCTGCACTAATAATTTCTGCACAAAAAAATTTCTCCACAATAAAGGGTGGGTAGAAGGAAACAAAGGGATAGATCTCTTGCAAATGGGAAAGAGTCCAGGAGATCTAGGGGAAGGGAAAAGGGGAGGGGAAGGAAAAGGGAAGGAAGGAGAATTAAGATACACCATACAGGGCTGGGGATTCAGCTCAGTGGTTTCGCTGCTTGCTGTGTAAGCACAAGGACCCGAGTTCAATCCCCAGCACCAAAAAAAAAAAAAAAAAAGATACACCATACACAGGAAATTCATGGCTTCAATGAATGTGAACATTGTATGTCATAAGATGAGCTAAGAATAATACTAACAACAAGAACAAAAATGGGGAAAGGGGATCTAGAGGCAGAGCAAGGGAGGTGGGTTGGAGGGGGGAGGGAATATAAAAAAGAAACAAGCTAAATTATATACACGTATCCCCTCCCCAAGAGGAATGTACACTTCATGTACTGCAAACATGTATAATATAATAGAATAATAAAAATTCAATCCAAAATTGCTCTACCTATGAAAATCTCAACCTCTAAGGGAAAAGACAATCAGATGATGCAGATGTTAAATTTATCCAACAATGTTTTTCAACAATCATTATTAAAATACCCCCAAATAGTGAACACCTTGAAATGGATGAAAAGATAGAACATCTTGACAAAACATACAAAATATAGTACAGAATCAAATGGAAATTTTAGTTTTGCAAAATGCAGTAACAAAAAACTACCTGGTGATACAGAATGGAGATAACAAAGAAAAGAGTCAATGAACTTTAAGGTAGATTGATAGAAATTATGTAAATGCCAGAGAGGAAAAAATGATTGAGAGGAAAGATGACCAGAGGTTGTAGGGCAATACCAAAAGATCTAACATCCATATCATATAGAAGACAGTGTGGTGTAAAAAACTCCTTAAATATGCAGACCCAGGAATCTCAGTTAATCTTCAACGGGAACTCAAAGAGACGAATGCCTAAGCATGTCATAATCACACTGCTAAACTACAGGCAAAGAAAAGTATCTCAAAAGAAGGCAGAGAAGGGCTGGAGATCTAGCTCAGTGGTTCCGCCACCTGCCTCTCAAGCGGAAGGACCCAAGTTCGATCCCTGGTACCAAAAAAAAAGGCTTGTTGCCCTGGACCTTATTTGCCAGGGATTTGGCTCAGTGGTTTTGCCACCTGCTGCGCAAGCGCAAGGACCCAAGTTCGATCCCCCGTACCAAAAAAAAAAAAAAAAAAGACAGAGAAAACTGATGTATTACTTACAGAGGAACAATGATTTGGATGACTGCCCATTTCCCATAAGAAACATGAGGCCAGAAGTAAGCAGAATATTTTTAAGTGTTAAATAAACTGCCAACCAAGAATTCTCTGTCCAGTGAAAATATCTTTCAGGAATGAAACTAAAATGAAGTCATTTTCAGGTGAAGGAAAACAGAGAATTTGTTGCCCTCAGAACTGCTCTCAGAAATGCTGAAGGAAGTTCTTCAGACAGAAGAAAAATGATACCGGAAGGCAAGCTGGAATATGAGAAAATAAGGAAGAACAATAAAAATTATAAACATCTGTATAAATACAGTACTGTTCTCTCAAGATGTTTAAAATATATTTAATGGCTAAAAGAAAAAATATGACACTATCTCATGGATACACACACACACACACACACACACACACACACACCCAGACTCTTGTGTAGGAAGGCAGAGGGAGGGAAGAGATATACTCAAATTATCCAAAAGACAAAAAGAAAAGGAGCAAATAAGGGGGCCAGGGATTTAGCTCAGTGGCACCGTGCCTCCCTCACAAGTGCAAGGTACTGAGTTCAAATCCTAGTACCAAAAAAAGAAGCGCAAATAAAAAACAAATAAAACGGTAGGCCTCAGTACAAATGTATCAATAATTACATTAGATTAAATGTTCAAAATACACCAACCAAAAGGCCAAGATTGGCAGAATGCATTTTTAGAAAATCAACCACAAAACACATTGACCAAAATAGGTGATGTCTACAAGAAATTTACTTAAAAATTTTTTTAAATGGTAAAATATAATGACTTAAGTATGTGAAACACAGAATGACAGAAAAAGTACACACTGCAAACAAAGTGGGAGTGGTTACATTGCTATCAAAGTAGATTTAAGAGCAGAGAAAATTATGAGAGGTAGACAGACATCACATAGTGAAAACATCAAACTGCCAACAAGACATAAAAAAATACTAAATGTGGGTGCACCAATAAGAGCACTGGAAATACATAAAACACTACTATTAGAACTGAAGAGGTTTTTTTTAAAATCCACAAAAATATTTGCAGACCTAAACATCAGAAAACATAGAAAACTGGCAAGAATATAAAAGAACTAAATAAAAGTATTAATCAATTGAATAAAATTAACATTTAAAGAACATTCTGCAGAACAAGAGGGCCCTTAATAAATTTAGAAGAATTGAAATCATACACAGTATGTTCTCTGACCATAATAGAATTAGAAAAATAACCTAAAATAACAGGAAAAGCCCTAAATAGCAACAAATTAAACTCCATAACCCTAAATAATTCATGAGTCAGAAAAGTCTCAAATGAAATTACAAAATATTTTGAACTGAAGAAAAATTTTAAAAACTGTCGAAATTTGTAGTATGCAACTAAAGTCACTCTTAGGTGGGTATTGATAGCATTAAATTATACTTTAAAAATATGAAAAGTCTCAAATATAACCTTATACCCTTTAAAAACATTAAAAAGAAAATAAATCCAGAGCAAGCAAAAGAAAATAGAACTAAAAATATTGAAAAACTATTAAAAAAAATGAATGAAACAAAAAGACCCTTCTTTGTATCTATAATATAGTCAAGAATTCTCAAAACTCCTTATTTCGAAATAAACAAAATAAGAGAACAAATCATTCACCAGAAAGAATTTATTTTTTGGTAAATAAGCTCACAAAATGACATTCAATATCATTATTATGGAAATGCAAGTGCTGAGCTATAATTACATCCCATTAAAATGGCTAACACTTAAGAAAAAAGTTGACAATACCAAGTGCTAGCATTTGGTATAGCTACAGTGCTTATACTTTCATCATTAGTTCAAAATTCTACAGCCATTTTGGATATCTGACAGATTTTTATTAAGTTAAACATATACTTAACATATAACCCAGCAATCTCATTCCTAGATATTTACCCTAAAGAAGTGAAAATTTATATTCACACAAACCCTGTATACGAATGTTTACAGCAGCCCTCTTGACAATTGTCAATACCTAAAAAAAGACCTAGCTATCCTTTCCAGGAGTGAATGAGTAAACAAATGGAAATATATTCAAATAATAAAATACTCATCCACAAAAAGGAATGGACTATTGACATTTTGAGTGACTCTCAAAGACATTATGCTGAGTGAAAAAAGAAATCCAATTTTTTTTGGTACCAGGGATTGAACTCAGGACCTTGCACTTGTGAGGCAGGCAGTGGCACCAGTGAGCTAAATCCCCAGCCCAATAAAATCCAATTTCAAAAGGTTACAACAATTTATCATTTCATTGATATAACAAATCCCCAAAAGACACTAGTACAGTCAACAGAGAACAGAGCAGTGGTTCCAAGAAGGGGAAACTTAATTATAAAGGGATACGGTGTGAAGGAGTTTAGGGGCTGACAGAATTGTCCTCTAGCCTGATCGTGTCGGTGGTTAAATGGATTTACACACTCATTAAAATTCCGTATTCCAAACTACCGGCATGTATCAAAAGAAAAGGTCTATTTTATTATATCCTAATATTAAACATGAAATTTATACAAATAAAGAAATAACTTTTCCAAAGGAAGTTAGGAAAGTTTTATTGGAAAAAAGGAAGACAAAGGGCCGGGGATTTAGCTCAGTGGTGCCGCGCCTGGCCCACAAGCGCAAGGCCCTGAGTTCAATCCCTGGTACAGAGAAAAAAAAAGAACACAAGGGAAAAAAGAGGACAAGAGCTCCTGGATTTCCAGAAGGGGTCCTGAATGGAGTGGCCCAAGAAAGAACTTTTGACCTTACTTTTAAGACGTTAGGGCACAAACTTCCACAGAGAAGACTTGGGTGTCTAGGTTACATCAAAGACCAATGACCACAAATGAAAATGAGGAAGACACTGGTATACTCACCACTGCTGGCCCCTCTACAGTTTCCATTACTAGAATCCATAGGAAAATCTGAAAGGTGAAAAGGAAAGAAGTGTAACATATTTGTTATTATGTCAAGAGTTACTGGGCCAGGGATTTAGCTCAGTGGTTCCGCCGCCTGCCTCTCAAGCGGAAGGACCCGACTTCGATACCTGGTACCAAAAAAATCTATATAAAAATCTAATTCAAATGCAAGTTTGACTTAGTAAGAACCAGTTTTCTCAAGGAAGTGAGGCTGGTACTCTTCCTTTTGTGTCGAATAAGGCTGTGATCTACTCTTCAATATGATTGAAAGGTGCTGTTTTCGAATCCTCATCCACTGTGCATAAATTTCAGGCTCTAATAAATAACTTGTGTTCAAATTTCATAAAAGTTATAAATGGTTAGGGCTGGGGATTTAGCTCAGTGGTTTCGCCGCCTGTTATGCAAGCGCAAGGACCCAAGTTCGATCCCCAGTACAAAAAAAAAAAAGAAAAGTTATAAATGATGAGTCTCCTATCACAGTGAAGTCCATGCAAGTATTAGGCACTCACCCAAACATTGTGACGTGATGACAAAGAGAATCAAGTACACCCGTGAATTAACAGATGTCTCAAAGGGCACTGCACCCAGCAAACACCTTGGTGCCTGTGGAAAACATTCAGAGAGCTTTCCAGGCCCGTTATCAACTACAGACTAAGGAGATCTTAAGCAGAAAGGAAACCTATACCCAGCAACAATTCGAGCCAATGCAATTCACAGATGTGACAATAATCAGAAATTGCCGTTGGTTCTTTTCATGATGCTGCAGTACCAGACCACAGTCACGATCAAAGTCTGCTTTGTTCTAATTAAGAAGCAGTCTCTGATTCATAGTGCCCAGGGCCCAGCAGGGCACCCTGAGGAGAGGCACATGCTTCAGCATACACGCTTTTACATAAGAGTTAACGAGTATTAACACTTTATGCTGAATGAATGCTATGCTTCTGTCTATCCTAACAGAAAAGTGTTCTTCCTGTCATTGTTCCAAGGTCATATCATAAATTAAACAAGGAGGGGTTTATAGGACTCCAGTGACCACAATTATAATTAATGAATTATTCTGTCAGGCTTAGTAACTATCAGCTGGTTTTGTTTGTTTTTCTGGCACTGAGGAATCAAATCCAGGGCCTGGTGCACACATGTGCGCCACCACTGAGCCATACCCCAATTCTCAGCTGGCATTTAAAAAGCTGTATAACAGAGACAGCAGTCCACAAATCAGTAAATAGATAAGGAGACAACAAATACTAGTTCTAAAACATTTGCTTCCACTTGGCCATAAACCATTAACTTAAAGCTTTTATTCCATTTGAACTTCATTCGTGATAAATATGTCTCTGTTGCAGGGTAATGTGCCAACAGATTTTCTATTTTTGAATAAAGTGATAAAACCACATATGGTTTATATAAAAATAATCTCCCTGTAGATAAAGAAATTACACTGACCTATACTTCAAATGTTTACTGTACAAAGTTAAATAAAAAAGAAAAATAAGACTTCTCTTGGAAAAAGAAATCCCCTTTAAAACAGTTAAGCAGAGGAGGAAGTTTTCCTTCTTTACATCCACAGGGAAACATTATTACACTTTTTAAAATGCTTAGAAGTCAAGCGTTAGAACTGTAAGAGAGAAAGTCAGTTTTCTGACCACAAATAATCCCCCCAAAATGCTGCCAAGGAGTTACGTTTAGGCATTCTACCATCAAAATTATCCTGAACTAAAATAGTAGATTTTAAGCCACAATGATTTCCAGTGGAGATCACAAAGATTCTAGAAGAATTCAAAGTAGCTGTGAGAGCCAGGGAGAGTTTTCCAGGTAGGGGTGAGTATTGCAAAGGTAGAGTGCACGCTTGACTTACAAAGTCTATCGATTCCCAAGGGCTGGTTGTAACTTAAGTTAGCTGTAAGTCAATGCAGCTGAGATCTGGATGTTTACCCGGGTACACGCAATTGATAAGAAGAGGCAGATGAATCGTCCATTAACCTAATTAACCCAAGTTGTTTATATGTCAGGCTGGTCGTAACTGGAGAGTCCACTATACTGGGGCTGGAAAAGGCATTCTCCAGAATGCAAGCTGAACATCTCCAACATGGATGAGTAGAAAACACGGTAAGCGGAGAGAAATGAGGCTAGAGAGGGACGGAAGGGCAAGACCATGAAGGCTAGAGGGAGAGTCAGAGTATTTTACTTATTTTCATTTTTAAAGTTTTTTTTTTTCTCTGCAGTGCTGAGGATTGAATCCGAAATGTTCACACTGAGCTACATTCCCAGCCCTTTTTATTTTGAGACAGTGTCTCGCTAAATCACTAAACTGCTCAGGACAAAGCTCAGACTTGCACTCCTCTTGCCTCAGCCTCCCAGAGTGCAGGGATTACAGGCATTAAAGCAACAGGTTTTTCATTTCATTGTTGAGACAGGCAAGGCACACTGGGGACAAGGGAACCAATTATCATCGTCTGGCCACAATCCATGGAAAAATGGTGAGATCCAAACTAAGAAAATGCATTAGAGAGAAGGGGAAGGAAATGGGATTTAGAGTACATCGAGTAGCACTGACTGAATGAGAGATGAGGAAAAGGAGGAATGGAGGTTGACTCCCCAGTCCAGACAGCGAGGGTGTGCGTAATAGTCCCTGCATGACACTGGGAACACTAGCAAAGAACAGGCTCACAGGTGAGGAGCTGCCGAGGCCCACGCTGAGGCTCAGAGCTGGAGGAGCTGACATGAAACGCAGCCTCTGCCAGCTCCACAGTGCACCAAAGGAGGAGTCGCCTGTCTCTTGGAATCCACTGTCCAGAGCAGAGCCCCGTTTCACTCCCTTAAGCCATATACAAAGGAGTTTTCAAAATACAGTGAAAATTGTCCCTTTAACTGTAACCAGATGGGCAGAAGACAGAATCTCTATAAAGTTTGAAGTCACATTTCTCATAAAAGAGAAAGTAGTGTAGAACAGGCCTTGATTTGAAACCGTTTTCTTACCAGCTGAATTAACTTCTCAGGTCATTTAATTTCTCTATATGCCTTGGCTTTCTTTTCTGCAAAATGGGAGTAATAGGACTTAGCATAGAGGTGCTATGAGAATTAAGTTACTGTGCATAACTCATGTAGGACAGTACCTAGAACACATCAGGTGTTGTTAGCTGATATCCACTGCTGCTAATGACCTCTGTCCAGAGGCTGGCATATCCTCTCCTTGATGTTTAATAATAACATCATCTTTTCAAAGTACAAAACAAACTACAAATCTAGAATTCCAAATAAGGACCTATAACTCTAATAGTGTGGTTTTCTCTAAAATGAGGAAATGTAGTCAATTCTTCATTATACAAAACCATGTCTGGTGCTCCCTTTAGCAGCACATATACTAAAACCACGTCTACATGGTGCCTTAGTCTCTGTCCTTTTTCGAGACAACTGGTAGAAAAAGAAAAACCAAAGACAACTTAGCCAATTTTGCTCTTTCAATGACTACCTGAAAATCAGGTAGGAAGGAGATAAAAAGTAAACTGTAATCAGATTAGCTCTGAATAAAATCAGCGCCACTTTAGGGGCTGGGGATTTAGCTCAGTGGTTCCACCGCCTGCTTCAAAAACGCAAGGTCCCAGAGTTCGATCCCTGGTACCAAAAAAAAAAAAAAAATCAGCGCCACAACAGTGAAATACTCCCATACTTCATCCAGAGTGTCCTGTCATATTTTACACAATGAGGGAACCTTAGTACTGTACCATACTTCTCTCTCATCCTAATCTAAAATTTCCATTTCTCCTTTCCATTCCATATTCCTCCTTCTTGGTATTTGGCCCCTCAAATATGTGTAGCTCAGGGCTAAAGAAAAGGCTGCCTGTTCCTCAGAGAGGGGAGAAAGGATGGAGCTGCCGTTCGTGCATGTGAAACCTGGCTTGCTCCACCAGGCGAAAGGGCTGCAGAAGGTGTTGAGCATGAGCTGAGGGACAGAGTAGCACTACATGGAGACCAGCAACACTGAGGGGTAATTATAAAGCCCTTGGCATGACCAACTGTAGCTGGTGTAGAAAGAGCTGTGAAATATCATACCATAAACTTTCTCAGAGTCTTGATTCCTGAGATAAGCTATTTATAATGAACAGACAACCATTGTCTAAGCTTATTCTTTTTTCCTGTTATTCCCAACGGGATTTACTCTTGGGCCTGAGGCCCAGGTTAATCTGTATAAGATCAAATATCAACTTTATATATTCAGAAGAATTAAGATTTGCTTCTTCAGTTAGGTCTCAGTGTAAAGCTTGTTTCCTAGAGATGAATTCATACAAGTTCTAGGCTCTATCTGTATTTATAGACAAAGAAAGAAATCATCAGTCAATTTGATATAACAATGATAATAATAGCAAAATAGCAACAGTTGAGCAATTCCTTCAGGGCTTATTATGTACCAGGTACTAGACTCAATACTCTACATGTTGTGTAACTCAATCTGTTCCAGCCCTTAGGATGTAGGGAGTTTGGTCCTTATTTTATAGATAAGAAAACATTGAGTCAGAGCGGTTATGCAAGTTTTCTATAGCAACAGTTGATGGGGAAGAGTTAAGATTCAATACTTCACCTGCTTGACGCCAGCTAGTCATATTCTTTACCCACCAGGCGATAGTCAGTATTTGACTAAATGTGTTAACTAGCTGAAATGAGATCTCAGATAAAGCATGTGAAGCAGCATATGCAGCCACAGTCTACAATAAATATTGTGTAAGAAGAATAAACTTAATATAAAATTATTAGTAGTGGTCAGCATGCAACCTGTTCTTTATAAAAGTACATTCACTCTTAGTGTTTTGCAAGCGAAAAGTAGTTGAAGCATTATTCTATTTCAATAAGACTTTGTGAAGTGTCCTAAGTGTGTTTGTGGAGTCACAGTGTCCCATGAGGGGCCAGATCTCCAAGTGCAGGAACATCTGGAAGTCTTTTCAGCATTAAAGAAAGGTGAAGGCTGGTCTTATTTCATTGAGGGAATCCTCATTCTTATTTTAGCTGCATGGAGTCTAATCATAAGACACAGGACTCCATCTATAAATAGAGGAAAAAAATAATGCATCATGAACAACCATATCACACTAAATCAAACAGTATATCGCATCGTAAATAAGACTGGTCACATGTGGTAGTTCCTAAGTAACTCCAGGTGTCTGACAGTTTGACCCAACTGAATGCGATTTCCAACATACTGACCCTGGCAGCCAGGGGACCCTCAGGCTACAATGCACCCCTCATTCCCATCTTCACCTCCCTCTCAGGCCTTTCCAGCTACCATAGTCTCTGGTTCACACAGAAGGTTAGGGGAGGGGGAGCATCACTAAAATATGATTTCAACTACCTCCTACTGCTACTTATTTTTCTAGCAAGGATGCTGTCAGTAAAACAAATATTATGGCATTTTTAAGCAGCTCAGAAATCAGGTCCGCTGGACAGACAAATTGTTTCCATGCAGGTCGTGCTGGAGCGTTTCAATGAGGCAACTGTTCTGCTTTCAGTCCATGGTGATGGGTAACTCGAGGTCACTTAATGAAGCTGCTTCCCAGCCATACTGACTGTGGCTTTTTGAGAGCCACTAACCTTGCCAAACCTCACTCATTCCAGGTCCCTCTCTCAAAGAGCTTTAAGAACAAATTTTGTCTTTTAAGGGGAGGATGCATTTCAGCATGAACCACTGCCACCTCATTCCCAGTCGTTGGCCCGAGAGGAGCGCCAGCATTTAACTGATGCTAAGTGCCTGGCACACCAAGGCAGCCTCTGCACTGGGCTCTTCCAGGGCCTGCAGAGTGTGACCACACTGGGTGCAAAGGCTCAAGAATGCACTTTTACCCCCGGAGAGGAATAAGAAATACACACTGCCTTCTCATTATTTTACGCATCTCGCTCTTGGTTCTTGATTAACATCAAGAAGACAGTATGTTCATTCAAAGAGTGGTAATCAAGTGAGGGGACCATCAATAAGTTCTTGAAATCTTTCCCTTCGGTTTTGGTCTCTTAACTGTTTATCCAAGTCTTTCCCCCTCTCATTTTATGGTAATGAGTCGATGTGATTTTTCCAAATAGCTGAGAACATTTAACTAGCAATTGAAGGGCAAACAAACATGAGCCTAGGTTGAGATGATGAAGGCAGCAGAAGGCAAAGTTGATGCCCAATAAATGAACAGAGATGAGACAACTAAGCCAACACATCTCGGAACAGGGCTGATCCGGGGAAGGTACAAAAGAGGACCACTAGTGTTGAAAAAAACCTCAAAATCCTTCAATTTTAAACTATACAAAAGGTATAATTTGAGGTTTGGCTTAGTTGGCCGCAGTCATATCAAGTTAGAATTAAACGGACCACAATGAACTAGACTTAGTTAGGGTTTTAAAGTTACAAATGTCATAATTTGACCAAACACAAGTGAGAAAACAATTTGTGATTCATTCCATGAAATGTAGAGCTGCAATAGTTCTACGGTGGAGAAAACTTGAAATGAATGTGCAGATAATGCACAGAGCATTGAATGAGGTATTAAAGACAGCATTTGCAGAGTACAAGAGAGAGATAAGGGGAGAGATTATTACACCGGCACAGGAAGATAAGGCGCCTAAATAAAACTCCTCTCATCCATTTGTCATTTGCAAAGTGCCCTGAAGGCATGCGGGCATGTGAAAAGAGCCAGGGATTTCAGTCCGCCAGCTCCACAGCGGGAGCAAGCTGCAAAAAGACGCTAATTAGCAGTGCATAGCAAAGGTTCTCAGCAGTGTCAGTCCGGAATGGAAATACAATTTGACTCATTGAAAGGAGGGGGAAATTTAAGGTGAAGGTAATTGTTCAAATTGGATTCTGAGCAAACACACAGCACTAACATCTGTGGGTTGGAACAGGGTTGCTGAAATTATCTTGGTATTTTCAGTGATTAGAAGAAAACGAAGGTTTCCGTTTTCTGTTGTCTCCCTACACTCCCTACACAAAGCAGCTAAATAAAACGCTAGGTACAGAGGAAACTTGGTAACTGAGATTGCTGGAGAACAGGCAACGAAATTCAGCGACTATAAACAAACTAAGAAGAAAAGAGCATTCGCCACTTCCACGTGCAAAGCGCAGAAAGTGCAGAGGCAGGAGGTGGTGGCAGTGGAATGAATGGGGTGTTAGCAAGGCGGATCACTCAGTGGAAGGCTACGTCCCTTTGGAAGAGGACGAGGTGAGACTTTTAAAAAGTGCTCAGTAGGAGAGCGACCAAGGGAGAGAGGAAGTGGCCCCTGAGGGGAAAGAAGGGGAAAGGAGGCCGGGGCGTACACTCACCGGCTCCGTCCGCCGTGACGATGGCCTCGGGAGAGATGCACACGCCCCGGTCGTACACCGGCAGCTCCTCGCAGGCCAGGCTCTCGGGCCACGCGTGGCGGTACTTGATGAGGATGGGCTCGCAGCCCTGCCGGGCCCGCTCGCACACCGACTTGCAGGGCTTGATGGGCTCGTGCTGGAAGTCGATGGTGCAGATGGGCGCGTACATGGCGCAGAGGAAAAAGAGCAGATCAGGGCTGCAGCGGGTGCCCAGCAGCCCTTCGAACTGCTCGATGGCCAGGATGGCGTTGGCCTGCGTGCTGTGGTGCAGGTGGTTGGGCATCTTGGTCATGTTCCAGGGCAGAGACTTGCACAGGGGGAGGCGCACGGGCTCGCAGGCAGCCGCCCGGGCCGCGGGCGCGCGGAGCAGGCAGAGCGCGGCCAGGGCGAGCAGCGAGGCGCCGCGGGCTCCGTGGGCGCCGCGCGCCATGGTCCTGCGGGACGCGATCCGCCGGCTCCGACGCCCGCCGCGATCTGGGCGCCTCTCCTCCCGCGGCAAAGTCACGGCTTCCTCGGATCGGATTCCCCCAATGGGGTCCCACGGGCCCCGCTCGCGCCGCCTCGGCTGCGCATCTATTTCCTCCGCGCGCCCGGCCGGAGCAGCAGCCGCGCGGCCCCGCACCGGGGCGACGGGAAGCGCGCGAGGGGCACAAACAAAAGCACGGCGCTCGCCGAAGGTAGCGGGAACTCGGGTGTCACCTCCCCGAACTTCAGAAACGCGCCGGAGGAGCGCGCGGTTCTCCCGAGCAGGGAGGGCGGGGCGGGGCGGGGCGGGCGGCGGAAGGTGGGGTCGGGGAGGGGCGCGGGGGAGCCGGGCGTCCGGGAAGGTCTGCCTCGGCGCCCGAGTCGCGGCAGCGGGAGGTCGCGGCAGAAGGCGGAGCTCCGCCGGGGCAGCCCCTCTCCGGGAGGAAGCCGAGGCAGCGCCCTCTCGCGCGCCCCCGCCCCTCTCCGGAGCTGCGGGCCCGGCGCCGGCCCCTGGAGGGGGATTCGCCCGGCTCCCCGGGGGGGGGCCCCTCAGCTCGGCGCTCGGGGACCAGTGCGGGGCCGGAGCGCGCGCCCCGAGACTGCGGGTCTGTACCCCCAGAACTGTCCACGCGGGACCCCGGGGCCGAAGTGTGCTCTGCTTTTGGGGTTTTGTTTCCCTGCAATTTTTTGTCCTTTGCCCTGTAGAATTAGAGCTTTTGAGCTCTGCCTCCTGAGTTTAAGAGCGGGAATGAACTGCTCCAAAGTGCTTGGGTTCTTTGCTTTCTGAGTTTGCTGAGTGAAATAAAATGCATTTACCAGCTACCCCTTCTCACCTATTTCCCCTAACACTTGAAAGACCCGCGCAGGCGAACTACCCCACAGAGGTAATGATGGTGAGGGAAGCACTGAAACCCTCCCCACCCGGATGAGCTCAATCCCGAAGAGAAAACAGAAAACAGCTTCCCTCCCAGCCCTTCCCCTTCAGCACCGCGCACCCGGAGCTTCGCCCTCGGTGCCCTCCCGAGGGGAGCGCGCAGGGCTGAGGACTGCGGAGCTCAGAAGACGCAGCCCACACCGGGAGGGAAGGAAAAGAAACAGGAAGCCACCTTGGCTCCTGATCCCTGAGGTCGGCCTCTCCTCCAACCCCGCGTGGTTCCTCGCTGTCAGGAAGACAAAAGCAGAATTCTCGACGGCGGGGGGTTCGAGGCCCAGCCCTGCTCACTGCGCTGCTAAAAATGTCAGCGCTAATTTTATGGGATTTTTATCTCTAATGCAACCTTAGCAGTGTGGCTGCAGTAATTGTTTGGGGAAGGAAGCTTTTTTCCACTTAGAAGGAAAGCAACCGTAGGGAATCATTTAGCTAACATTTAAACCCTACCTGGCCTACAGCTCTGCGGTGTCACAGGAGAAAACAAAGCCAGGGCCGGGGATTTAGCTCGGTGGTGCCGCTGTCTGCCTCGAAACCACAAGGTCCTGAGTTCAATCCCCGGTACCGGAAAAAAAAAGAAAAGAAAAAGAAAAGAAAACAAGGCCAAACATTAGGTAAACGAACCACATGAACAATGAGCACATAAAATGTGACAGAAAAACAAAAACAACAGTCAATAATGGAATATATTTGGAGTGCTGTTCTAGGTAAAGAAAATAAAACAGGGATTTGTGATAAATGTAAAGGAAGAAGCGAAGGTGTAAATAGACTGCTAACTATACTTTTCTGTTTCTCTTAAATTTTACAGTGCAAGAAGAAATGAGCCCTTATTTAAATGATTCTATAACTATGTGAAATAAAATCTATCCCCTAACACATGCCAGCTCTCCCGTCTAACATATCTTTTCACAACTTTTCTTTAATCCATGTTTTGTTTTTATCAAAACCCAAAATTGGGCCGGGGATTTAGCTCGGTGGTGCCACCTGCCTCACAGGTGTAAGGTCTTGAGTTCGATCCTGATACCAAAAAAAATAAATAAATTCCACTGCCTTCAGGAAGCCTTTTTGAGTAACCTGTCTGCTTCGGGTCATTTTTCTAGTTGTTTCCACAGAACGTTGGTCATTTTTTTACAAATTGTTAGGACCTCCCAACTTATTACTTCAAAATATTTCTTGTATTATTCCATCTGGGCTCTGCCTTCCCAAATAGCATGTACAATTTTTGAAAGAAGAGAATCCATCTTCTATTTCTTCTGAAACAGGTATTTGAAAAATCGCTGTGCACACCTATAATCCCAGCAGAAGCAGAAGGATCACTGTGAGTTCAAGACCAGCCTGGGCTACATAGTGTGTTCCAGGCTAGGGTGAACTACATAGCATGATCTTGTTTCAAAAAACCAAAATACCCTGAGTTCGATTCCTGGTACCGGAAAAAACTAACAACAGCAACCAAATAAACCCCAAAATACTACTACCACTACTACTACTAATAATAATAATTGCTATGGATCAAATGTGGCTCAACAGCTGCTTAGGAAGTGTACCCCAGTCCACTAGTGTGCAATCACCCTTCTTGGACTGAGTCACAGTCCCATGGCCACTGGCTCCTATGGTGATGTCAAGAACAGATAATGCTAGATATTATGACTGAAATAGTCATACAGTACTGTATTACCAAAATTTAAATTTGACCAGTCCCCTCCAGTTGCAACATCTTATTTTGTCAATAATTTAAGCAATGTTAAATAATTTAACATTTCTTCATCTATCTAAATAAACTTTAAACTTACTCTAGGTTTGTATTTATAAAACTACCTGCATCTTTCTTATAAGGGAAAGTACTGAGGCTGAGGGGTAGCTCTATGGTAGAGCACTTGTTTACCATGCATGAGGCTCTGGGTTCAATCCCCAGCACCCAAAAAAGTGCTGTATTTATAATATACAATTATTAATTGTTAATTAAAAATAAAACGGAAAATGTGCTTACATTGCTATAAGCAAGACTCATATGTAAATTACAGTGGTCACAGTCTGAACATGTTAGCTTTCCATCTCTGTAACAAATTACCTGAGATAATCGACTTTAAAAAGGCTCACAGTTTCATGGGTTTCAGTCCATGGTTACTTAGCCATGTTGCTTTGGGCCTGTGGCAGCATACAGCATCATGGCAGAAGCTTGTGGCAGAGGTGGACCATTCACCTCATGGGAACCAGGAAGCAAAGAGAGAGGAAGCTGAGGGCCAGGGTCCACCACCTCCCAACAGCACAACAGCAACCACGCCTTCAAAACATGGGCCTTTGAAGAACATTCAAGATCCAGACTCTAGCAATGCTTCAGCACCAGTCAGAATGACGGAGGCCACTGTGAACTAAGTACCTGCCCTTGGTACCCAGGGAGCAAGGGAACAATGTTTATGGGGTTCCTACTTCTGGGAAACATAACCACACAATACTTTGCAGAAGATATTAGTTCCAAAGATGAAATCAAGGCTCCAAGGAATGAAGTTTCCCAAAGTTCTTATAGATTGTTAAGGGCCTGGTAGAAGCGAGACTAGAATCCTTGCTCTTTCACAGTAATCATGCTGCTAATGGTTTGAAAGATGCCAAGAAAGGGAGACTCCAGGTTCTCTGTGAACCTGGGTCTCAGTCTGTTCCTTACCATACCCACGGTCAGGTACTGGTGCTGCCTTCCCCCAATAGAAGGTTGTCAAGGTGTGAAGTCCAGTGAGGAGCTTTGGACTTCAAGTGAGAGGGCCTCCCTGCTCACGGCTCTTACCTGAGGTACTCTGAGACCTAGTACTTCCCTAGAGTTACACTTTCCGAAAAGCATACCCTTACCTGTCTCCAAGCAAGTCAATGAAAGCTTCCCATTTGTTAGCTGCAGCAACATCAGGGCCATGATTCTCAAACTGTAGCATGCAGCAGAATCCTCTGGAGGAAAGACAAAAAAATAGATTGCTGGGTCCTATCCAGAATTTCTAAACAGTGGGTTGGGGTAGGGTCAGAGAATTTGCCTTTCTGATAAGCTCCCAGCTGATTGTGACACTGCTATCCAAGGATAACACTTTGAGAATCACCCTTTTGAACTAGACATTAAGCTTGATTTACTTAGTAAACTCTTCTCATGCTATAAAGATTTTACGGTTTTGATTTCCTTTTATCTTTTCTTACAGAGACGCTGGAAACGAAATTTATAATAAAGCAACCTAATAGCTAAATGATACCCAGAGGAAGGAAGGAATAGGTCTAGATGCCTCTCTCCATTATTCAAAGGCCTTATTAATAGCCCCAATAAGACTTAACATTACAATCAGCTGGCCTTCCAACCTTAAAGTACTTTCCTAAGAGGTCACAGCACCATTCTATTCTCACTGAAACAAAAACTCCAACTTCAAAGAAGTTTCAGGAGAAAAACCTTCTTATCTTAGTGGTGGAATGAACATCAAGCAACTAGTCCACCCCAAGCCAGCTCCACAGCCCTCTAGACCTTAATTTGAAGAGAAAACTTGAAGAGATAAAAGCATTTACTCAAAAGTCAATGGCTGTTAACTGTCCCTGTTTGATGTCCTATTTACACCATTCTCATACTCAGTTGGAAGTGTGTGTGATTTTTTTTACACACTTGAGACACAGAGTGTGTACATGAAAATATCTGATAATTAACAGCATTCAGTTTATATGATACCTTAACATCATCCAAAACTTTCCAAATAGACCCAAAGGATACAGGGTTCTATAAAGGGGTGTGTGACCTCTTCAAGCAACTCCAGCACTGTAGGTGTTCCCTGTCTAATGTCAACTGAATACCCTTTCCACCATCTTACTCTAGAATAGACCTGCATGTTCTTTCATCTTATCATACCTTTACAAGTCTTATTGTAATTCTCTTTTCCCCAGTTTCCCTCTTTATGATGATAGAGGAGAAAGCAAGATGCATACTGGCCCTCCCTCCCTCCCTGCCTTCCTTCCTGCCATGCTGGGGATGGGGATGGAACCTAAGGCTTTGCCTGCATTGGGAAAGTGCTCTTCCACTGAGCTACACCCTCAGCCTCACATTCGAATAATTCTATCTTTGACTATTGGCTTCCAGCCTGAGTTACAGTGTAAACAATTGAACAAGTAGCAGAAACCAAGGCCAAATTAGAAAATTGCCTTAAAATGATCCCTAAATGACTAGAAATCCTGCAAAACAACCAACGAGAGACAATAATATGACCAGTACCCAGTCATCTGTGTTTTGTTAACCTGAATCAGTCTCTTTGGTGGTTATATAAAAACAAGATCACAAATCTGCCAACTTGACAGATATACTGATTACTAAATTCAGCAAAAATTTTTTTGAATCTGAAAATTTTGCCT